GGGGGGGGGGGCTTCAGTCACCCATTGCACCCCCCTGATCTGCCCTTGAATATGATATGTATGTAGTCGCTTTAAATTTTATTGATACCCTGAAATCCTCTTTTGGCTGTTCAATTAGATAGCACGTGGCTAACTAGAATTTAGAGTGTTAGGTTTTGTCAGGTATGGAAAACTGAAAACCCAGAGGATAACCCTCGATTCAAGGGAGAAATCCAAAAAACTCTGTTCACGTATGATATTTAGTCCAATTAAACCCAAGACCCCAGAGGTGCGAGGCTAGTGCACTACCTGCTAAACTACCCTTGATTCTCAAGGGTGCTAATAACATTAACTTACCATTAGCTATGTGCCGTTCATCCCCTTTAACGATGAGCCAACCAAAACTCTTAATAAGATCTTGGGACATGTCAGACAGTCTCATCACATTTGCTTCCTCAGGAGCAAGTTTTTGGGCTGTGGCAATCTATTAACAAATACAAAGTTTAAAACTCAAGACTCAGTTTCAGAAAATATTAATGCCTCCTAAAATGAGAAGGAAATATCTCATTTAGGAAATATGAAATAATGAAGATGGAAATGGAGAAACATGAGTAAAAATTGCTGCATTCCTTCATTACAAACTCATTTACTCAGCCTTAGCCTTATATTAGCTTTAGAATATCCAATGATAAATACCAATAATAGAACTATCTGGAATTCGCTTGACTGGTCACGAAGCAATGATTTCAAGTCAAGGTTGAACTTGATGAATAAAAGAATCAAGTTCAGTCTCGACTTCAAACCATTGTTTTGTGGTCAGTCAAGCGAATTTGGGATAGGTCTACTGTAAGATAAGGAATACACAACTTCAAAGACACACTTTGAAATTCCATGGGCTTTTCAATGAATATTCTTAAAATTGAGCTATGAACTTGAGAGGATTTGAAACCGAAGTATTTTTTTACATATAGCATAACATGGTGTAAGAGCACTATGAATGTACTTACATCTTTGTAGTCCTTTGTTTCAAAACCAAGAAATACATTTAGTGACACGATACGATCAGCTCCACTTCCTGCTGGGGCTAAAAAGCAGCATAAAAATTATACCTAACTTTTCCCAAAAATTATTTCTACCATCATCCCATTTCCATTAGAATACAGCACCAAATGATATCAGTCTGCCAATAGTCTATTGGTATACCAGTTGCATACTTTTCCCACAATCCAAATCCCTCTTTCTTAAATTTTAACTGCCGCCAGTCAAGATTTATAAAGTATACCGACTGATGATTTTCGATTGGTGGCAGCAAAAAAAAAATTCTAGTGTGCAGCTTCCAACTATCAAGTTCATAAAATATTGAAAACTGCAATAAGAAATTTTAGTGAAACAGTCAATCATGTTTATATTGCTCATTTACCTTTATTTTCAAAGCAGATTTCCATAACCCCATCAAAATCAAACGTAAATGCAAACTTTCCCTTATCAGCATTATCCTTGTTGTAAAGCAGATCATTAACATCAGGGCGTGCATCTTTGATCTAAAGCAAAAAATTCCAGTTTCTGGTCTTTGTTGTATAGTTTCCATGTTACCTGTTATCTATATCTTCCCTGCACCAGATGGTGTATAGGGCCTTTATATCGTTTCCATAAGAAAGAGTTTTAATTTGCTAAATTATAGTTTATAGTTTCCATAAGAAAGAGTTTTCATTTGCTAAATTATAGTTTATAGTTTCCATAAGAAAGAAAGAGTTTTCATTTAATTGCTAAATTCCTTGACACTCAATCAATCAATCAATCAATCAATCAATCTTTATTGTGCTCAATAGTTTACAGATATAAATAATAATAGTTGAAATTGCAGGTGATAAGAGCACAGCCAATTAGAAATAGCAATAGCTAATCGAGCTAAGTGGCTGGGCCATGCAGAGAAAATCTATTTGTTGCTGATTGACTAAAGCAATGGATAAGACAAGACAAGACAAAAACAAAAGACGACAAGACAAGATAAGCCAGTGAAAAGACAAGAAAGACATTAGACAAGACAAAATGGGCTGTGCTCCTATCAGCTGGACTAGAAGTGCATCATAGAACTATCAATAATAAATCAAAACCATTCATTCATTCTTCTGTTCATTTTTCTTCATGTAATGGTAGATAATGCAATGACTATCAAAAATATTAATGTAAAAATCCACCTTGAAAATACAGGCTATAAAAACTTCTACAAGTTATAAAATAAATTGTAATATTAGTAAATGCATGGGGAAAGAAATATCCATTTTCATTCATTCATTCACTCATTCATTCCATTTKATTTACATTGAAACAAAATAAACCCTTATAACTAAATTTCTATAAACTGTGTAAATAAAAGGGCTCTTCTCTCTCGAATTGAATGCAATTTACATCTACCATGCTCGAATTAGAGCATGGGATTGAAAGGATGGGTAATTTTCATTGGGAATTACTTCATTTTTTTCCCACTTCAATAACTTTTCTTCCTCCTACCAAACTTTTAAGTAAATATCTTTTAAGTTTTGGTTTCTAAGTTAAAACTTACGTTAAATAAAACATAATTTATATGTCAAACTACTACTGTATCAACAATGAGATATTTTTACGTTTTTAAAAATATTAAAGAACATCATCTGATACAAATTCTACTACAACTTACCGTTAATTTAACTGCATAACGATCATTGTGTGAAACATAATATTCTCCTTTCACTGGTATGTCATTCTTAGCGCCATCCATGAAACATTTCTTTGTGTTAGCTTTGAGAGCAAAGGAAATGGACTGAACAAGCTGGCTTGTAATACAGATAATTAAAAATACAGCCAACTGGATTGAACGAGGAACTCTCATGATGAAACAGTAGCATATGAAGCAGCTTTTTCACTAAGAAACGTGATGTTCGCTCTAATAACTGGTACTAAAAGAATGAGAAATCTTACCTGCTCAAGAAACAAAGGCATCCCAAGAATTACATGTTGAGGAGCAGAAACCTAACAAACTTGGTAAAACTGCTCAAAAAAATCATCTCAACCAACAGGMACATTCAATGCATTCCAAAATAATTGCTTTTTTCTTGAAATATTTCTGTTTTAGGCGTGATTTTTTTGCAAGACATCGCCAAACACTTTTTTCCACTTTCGTCCGCCATTTTGGAATTTAATAATGTGTTGGGCTACCTGTGTTATGATAGAGCCCGCGTGGTAGTAGGTCAGTGGAGTGTTTCAATATCCCGGATGTGTGTCTTTGCGGTTCTTCTGCCACGTCGCTGCCATCTTGGAAGCGAAAAATCACTCTAAAAACGTACAGAAGTTCTCCTCCTTCCACCATGAAGTCTCTTATATTCTCTCTACTCTGTTTAGTTATCTGTGATGTTATTTTATTGGTTAGTTCGTTGTCATTTACGCTTCCTTCGGGCTCGAGAAAGTGTCTGAAAGAAGACGTCCACAAGGATGTCTTGGTGACTGGAGAGTACAAGCTATCCGAGGCTCCTCATCAGAAAACACATCTCAAGGTAGGTTGATTTTGATACCTGCAGAAGACTAAGGAGATCCATGTCTGCTGCTCGTGTCTGTGTAGCTAGAGCCGGTATCTAACGCAGTGTTATTGGGCATTAGGTCACGGAGTCCACAGGCCACGTCTTGTACTCAAAAGATGACGCTACAAAAGGGAAGTTTGCCTTTACTACAGATGATTATGAGATGTATGAAGTATGTTTTGAAAGTGAAGGTACGTAGCCTAACCTGTGTTGTAATCATTTCTTTTGTAAGGTATTGCTTAGATGCTGAAGATAGGTCTGCCAGACATACGCATGGGGAATTTGTTGTACACGTAGAATGCTTATCCACAGCTGTTTTCCTAAACAAAGCACACGCTTCTTTATTAGTTCAGATACATTGACTTTATACTTAAATAAAATAAATTTAATTTTTCGGAAATGGGAAGTCTCATTTCTGGACTTTTAACTGTGAAATCAATGGAGTGGATACAGAGATAATGAATTTGATTGAATATTAACATTCGTGTTTTAAAACATGTTTCTTTAGCTAGCACTAGTGGTGGAAGTGACAGAGAAATCTTTGTAAACATTAAACATGGTGTTGAAGCCAAGAACTATGAAGATGTAAGTATATCACCTATTTGGTAAAAATAGGTAAGGCCAAACAAAAAAATAAGTGTGTTTCCTGTTGCACGACTGATACTAATTTTCTTGCTGTTTGCCAACCCTAATATTTTTTTCATTCCCAAATGCACCACAGGGTTCCCAGTAAGCTCATTTCCACTGTTGTATCAGTAAAAATCTGACCTGCCGACCCCAATTATTTTTCTCATGCAACAGGAAACACTTATTTTTTTGTTTGGCCTTACCTATTTACCAAAAACTCGGTAACAAGATTGTAAAGTGGGAAAGAGGATAGGATTTCTACAAGATTGTCTTACCTGTACGTTATGTCAGCATTGGTGCAATTTAACTAAAGATTTCTAATTAGGATCCATTGTTAATGGCACCAGAAAGACTGCCATGTTTTTGTCTTTTGACTCTTGGAATGTTTGCAACTCATCAATGTATAGTAATCCACTGACCAAGCATTACCTGTATGGCTAACTAACTACCTTCTACCTCTATCCATCAACAAACTTTCTTCAAGCAAAATGGATTATGCATACATAGTACACCTTCACAAAAAATAGATATATGTGTGCACTCAAAAATTAATTGTGCTTTTTTGTAGCTTGGAAAAGCAGAAAAGCTTAAGCCAATGGAAATAGAACTTAAGAGAATGGAAGACTTAGCAGATGCAATTGTTAATGACTTTGCTTATATGAGACAAAGAGAACAAGAGATGAGAGATACTAATGGTAAGAAAATTTACTACAATTATATCTGAAGAAATACTAGTATATGTAGTATATTGCCCCTACCCACCCCACCAAAAATTGTTGCATTTGTAGGCAGGTTTTATTCAACACAGCTCTGCCAAATTTAAGGATAGTTAAGTTAATTAACACAATCTTGAAATCTACTGCCCTTAAAAAAAATTATGTATGCTAAAGTATATTTTACTTTTCTTTCAGAATCAACAAACTCCCGAGTGTTATATTTCTCAGTGTTCTCTATTCTCTGCTTGTTTGGACTGGCAACATGGCAGTTATTCTACTTAAGAAGATTCTTTATCGCCAAGAAATTAATTGAATAGAAACATCCATTCCAGCGTGATGCCATTTTTAATAATATAATACATCCTTTTGAAGCACAAAGCATCTCTTGTTAGATTTTTCTTTTGTAATGCCCTCTTAGCCTCACTTGGGTGCTTTGTGCATGACTAGTAAAGAGTGATGTATGATGTGTCATATATATGGCAGCGTTCCTATCAGTATGGCCAGCAAAATGAGATACTATCATCATGAACTTTCATTCTCATTCATTCTCCAAGCTGGACATAGAAACACCTAATCATTTCCCTACAACCAGGCTGAAAATAACTGTCGGTCATTGGTCCTTAGATTATTATATCACATTAAAAAGGTTTTCCAAAATAACTAGAGGTTGTTTCTTTCCAAGGGAAAAACATCTTGCGATAATTTCTTCATCTTTTCATTGTCACTGTTTATTTCTGCAAATACAGTCTCTCTTGGAATCTGTATCAAATGAGTCTCTCAGCCTGTGAATATATAAAGGGAATTTCTCAGACATTAATATAGGTAGATATTAATCCTATTGTTTTCTTACATCTACTTCTATATACTTATATCTCATAATTACTTTATGAGACAACATTAAACAATAGCTTTTGGTTTCACAGGCTAAGTGCTATCTACAACTTAAAATAATTTTCTAAAGCAATAAAGTATCCTCGGATTATAATTCTCCTTTGTCATGTTTTCTTTTGCTAATAGATTAGATTTACATCTTTTTTTTTTTATCAAGAAAAAAATTATTCTAAACAATAAATATTGTCAATTCTAAGCTATATATTCTAGACTCGAAAACCAAAGCATGAAAAGAAATAAAATATTTAAACAGAATTAGTGAACTTGTTCTATTCAGTGATGGGGCCTTATGTAATATATACAGTATGAGTGACACGAATACTGTAGATTACTTACCAAACGTATAGGTTAGTTTCTTTGTGTTTCGCTAAAATTTTCAAGATAAAAGTGAATCTGGCTAAGAAAATCCATCTTAATGTTTATGCAAATGAACACAGTTTTGTATCAGATTTACAACACTCTTCACGGTCATGATTTCTGTTGTGTTTTCCTCATGAATTATTAATGAGTTTGATAAGTAAGTTTATTAAGTTGTATTAAATATTTAGATCCCAAGCTTTGGTATTGGTCCAAATATTTTGACATCTCTAACATATGTATTCATTTTTTTATGGCTGGTCTTGCTGTGGCGATATCATAGGCTTGGTTACAAATTCATTTGGAATTCCGAAGCCCATCCGAAAATAGACCGACCTTAGTCGATCACCCACATATTCTTTCACATATAGGAATTTCTTGACAATTTTTCTTCCTCTTAAAAAATGTCAGGAAAAGATAGACTTAACGTTTTCCCATCTAGAATGTAAGTACATTTTAAGTATATAATTCCTAATGCATTTAGAAAATTAAAAGATGCTAAAATCTTCGATCAAAACTCAGGGCTTTGACCGTGATGAAGGCACGACTCAAGGGAGCCCAGAAAGGACACAGTTTACTAAAGAAAAAAGCCGATGCCTTAACTTTACGATTCAGAAAGATCTTAAAGAAGATAATAGAGGTAAATATCTTGATTATTCTACACATCTAAGTCTTGTGTGTCTACTCATTTCTTAAAAACGTTTTTTAAATCATTTTGTTATCTTTCATGAGACCAAACATTTGATGGGTGAAATCATGAAGGAAGCGACTTTTTCCCTAGCAGAAGCCAATTTTGCTGCAGGAGATTTCAGGTATTTATATATTTAGTATTGTTACGAATGGTTTTGTTATGTTTCACTCCTATTATGAGAAAAATTCCCCTTTAAATCCAATCGTAGTTATAAACAACAGCTAGTCACATGACTTCTCATGTCATACTAACTAATGAAAATGCCAGTCTTCATAAATATGGCATTTAGAAAAAACTTAGGATATTCAGTCACATAAATAATTGTGTATTATATCATATCTCATTCAGTGGCATTGTGAATTTTTGACAATGGGACTGGGGGGATGGGGGTACCATTTTCCTGCCAATACATGAGTAAAAAAAACGTCCTTTTTTCACGAGGGTAGCACTTAATAGCCAATGGCTAACAAACCTATGGCCCTCATTCCGTGATCGAATTGGAATTTAGGAGTTGATTTTTGCGGAGGGAGGAAAACTGGAGAACCCAGAAAACCCTTGACGCACATGAGAGAACCAACAAACAACTCTACTTATATACAACACTGAACCCGGCGGGACTTGAACTCAGGTCACATTGATGAGAGGCGAGTGCTCACACCGCTACACCACCTGTGCTTCCCAGTAATCCTTTGTTTATTTTAGTACTGGTGTGTTGGAGAACGTTGACAAAGCTCAAACCAAGATCAGAATGAGGAAGGATAATGTAGCAGGTACTGCTATTCATCCCTACCCTACCCTCCCTAACCTCATGCAAAGTTAGTCACCTTACTTTCATGTAAACAGCCTCTTTCTCACCAACACCATTTGTGCTTGTACCTAGTCAAGCTAGTCCAAAATGCATTACGTTCTCTGTTAGGTCCATTGAGTGTCATATTGATCTGGAAAAAAGCCATTTTACGATTAATTATATTTTTATATTGTATCCTATTTATGTCAAGTCCCTGTAAAGAATTATCTTGGAGGCAAGGCTAATAGGATAATACAAAAAAATCACACTTTTCTCAAAGGAATATTGGCATTTCTTTTGTATTTTCCTGTTAGCATCACATCCATGAAAACTTTTGAAGGGGGTCTATGGTCATGAGAAAACTATCATGAGCAGTGCCAAGAAACTTGTTTTTGATAAGGACATAATATTAATTTATAATAGTAAATGGGGAGCTAGTCACCTACAGCTATAGATACACGGTGCAACATTGAGTGCAATGTTGCATGCAATTTAGGTAGCTAGCCATGACACACAACACRATTTGTTGCGTGCAATGTTGCTGAAGTAGAGAACTATCCTACTTCAGCAACATTGCCTGCAATGCTGCACACAATGTTGAACCATGTGTCTGTGCCTTACTAACCCCTAGGGAAAAATACCCAAATGAATAAAAACAGCAATGATGATACTAATAAAGTTTCCAAACTTACATTTTTAGGTGTCCAGTTACCAATTTTTGAAGCCCATTCTGATGGGACCAATAGTAAGTTTGCTGATATTTAGAGGGTGGGGCCTTCTAAAAATCTTAATTTCCATTGAGGGTGAAACTGTTTTATCTTCATGAAAACTGTTTCCTAAATGACTAACAGGAGGGTCATAAATTTCTGAGTGAAAGGGAGGGCTACAACCATTTTTAAAAAAAGGTTTGCTAGCCAAAAGTTTGAATTTTGATGCTTGAAAACTTGAGATTCCCAGGCAAATTTTCAGTCAAATTTAAGATTGTGCTGATATGATCTAATTTAGATTCAGATTTAAAACAATAATTATAACATTCATTATTGCATGGTGTTTTACAGGTTATGAGTTGACAGGATTATCAAGAGGAGGTCAACAAGTGAGCAAATGCCAGGAGGTGTATGGAAAGGCTGTAAAGCTTCTTGTGGAGCTGGCATCATTGCAGGTCAGACTTCAAGTCCATCATCGTTGCACATATAGGTCTACTAATAGACCCATCTTAGACCATGTTTCATTCATTCTCTTGAGAATAAGATTCTTTGTTTATGTTGTATTCATATTTGTGTCTCATGTCTGATGTTTGTCTCATGCACAACTATTTAAAAAAAGAAGTGATAATCTAGGGAATGACACATGGTGTGAAAAGAAAAAATATTACGCCCAAAATATAAACATAAGTTCCCCTAAAATATATGATTGCAGATTTTCATATTTCTAAATCAGATGTTTTGATGTATTCCTACCTTAAATCCTCTTGCACTTTCATTGTTGGACCCAATATTTCAAGTCATTTTTCATTTTCAGACAGCATTCATAACTCTGGATGAAGCCATCAAGGTTACCAACCGTAGGGTGAATGCTATTGAGCATGGTAAGTAGCCTGTACAAAGTCACTTCACCTCTCTCGCTGGGGGGTGGGGTGGTTGGGAGACTGTTCTTACGCTGCAGGGGAAGGGGTGAGATTAGCTATACACAAGCTTTGTAAGCATTAGATAATATATAGAGATAATTCAGATACTTAGGTACAGAGTTGATGAGTGTGTTGTTAATTGAAGGTGTTCTTCTCGTTCTTCTCCTTTTCAAGTCCTCAGGAAAAAATCCTTATTTTCTTGACTGATGTTTTTGAGCATCATTTTCAGAATTCCAATAGAGTGCACATCACAATAAACCCTTGAAAAAGTACTAAAACTAAAAATTGAGAAAAGTACAAAACCCTTTGTAATGATAGACTATAATTGTTTAAGAAGCACTAATAGACCTTATTATTTTGTTGTGGTGTAATGTTTTATTTATCATTACAGACCAGGTGTCATTCCCAAGAGTAATATTTCTTTGTTTAATGGTAGCACATGAGAAGACACATGAATGTGGTTATAATAAAAAATCTTATTCTCAAGTGAATGATATGTGGCTATTTGTATAATGATAAGCATTTTACCACAACAATAAGGTGTATTAGCATGAACTAATTAGAACTTTTTCATGAATTTTTTTATGTGCACTAAGAAACATTAGAGAAACAATTCTTTATTAACTGTGCTTCAATTTTGTAGTCATCATTCCCAGAATAGAAGCCACAATCAGTTATATTCTTGGTGAATTAGATGAACGGGAAAGAGAAGAATTTTACAGGTAAGAAAGATCATAATAATGATATATTTATATTATTTATAGTTTATAATCATGTACATTTTTTAATCAAGGTTGAAGAAAATCCAGGAGAAAAAAAAGGCAATAAAAGAGAAGGCAGAAAAAGCAAAAATCGAAAAAGGAATCCTTGAAGCAGGTAAGTTAGCATTATCTTGTTTTTTAATCAATCAAACCATTCTTCTTTTATGCAGGCAGCAGCACTAAATGGCCAGTGACTAGTGTTGTCCTCATTTAATGATCAAATTGGAATTTAGAAGTTGCTGTTTGTGGAGGAATAAAAACTGGAGAACCCAGAGAAAAGTTTTCAAAGCACAGGAGAGAAACAACTAGAAACTCTCTTCATATCATGCACCAGCTATAAAATTAATTTTCAATAGTTTTCGATTCCTTCACATATTTTTTAAAAGTGAAAAATGTCGACCAAGATCATCTTGTTGAAAAAAGCATTCAAAACCATTTCAACTCCTGCTCTACAGCCACAGGTCTTTTCTTAGTTCAATAAACAGGATGCATTGTGGGTACAAACCACACCATATAAGTCATGATGAACAAAAAATGTTTGCACCCAAGGTAGACCACAATGCATTCTGTTTATCAAACTCATAGAAGGCCTATTACTGGTCTCAAAATGTCATCCAAAGTTATTTACTTTTTGAATTTTATTTTTATTCCTTAGAACATGCACCAAATATGTTAGATGATAATGAAGATGAAGACTTATTGTTTACCTAGTGATTTCTGACTATCCTAGAAAATAGCATTAGGGACCATCAAATATTAATTGAAGATGCATGGGCAACAATTAAGGTGTCCCCCCCCCCCCCCCCCCCCCCCCTTAAATTTTAGTTTCCCAAATTTTCCAAGACCCCTGAAAATGAACAAGTTTTCAAGTCGAAATTTTCAATCCCACTTTTTCACCCATCCCCCCTCTAATAAATATCTAATGGTCTCTTTATCTTTTACATCACAATTTTGAAAACTTAGGTTCAATTGTATTCTTTATTATGTAAGTATACATAATATGATATCATTATACAAAGAAAACAATACTGATGGTAGTATTAGTGGTTTTTCTAGGGTATGTGAATCATACATCTATATTAAATTATAAATTAAATCATAACTAAAGATTTTTGTCAAGCATTCAATACTTGTACAGTTGTTACTAAAAACTTTGAAGGGGAAAAACTTGGGGAATGTCTTTGGAAATATAAAAATTAAAACTATAGTCTATTGATTAATAATTCCTTGTCAATAAAATCAAGAATTGCTTCATTTCATTTTTTTGTGTGATTAAATTTTATGTGTTTTAACTTCTGGCAGTTATATTAGCAAATGCTCATTTTAATATTTGTTCACCATGAAATAAAGCTGTGGAAAATGTCTGTTTTAAACGATTTGTTATTTATACATTATGTTAGTTACCTAATACCAATTTTGAGCTGGAAAAGCTTGACATAGGTTGATAGTGATCTTGGGAGTGTCCAACATGCTGACAGCCAGTACATCAACAGAGTCTGTCCATGACTTCAAATGATGTCTCAGTCATCCTTGAAAGTATCAAAATTGTGATTAAATTGATTTCAAACCCTTGAACAACCTCTGGGCAGATCAAAGTCAGGTCTCAGCTAACTAGCAGATATATTATTATTGAAACTTAGCATGTTTTTCCTTAGGAAGCCTGAAGAAAAATCCTCAAATCAAGGGAGAGACCTAACAAGCTGTACTCACATATGGGACCAATCATTTCTTACTGCTGGGAGGGGGGTTTGTGGAAAACAGGATAGCCCCTCATAACGTTTTGATGGTCCACCCCTAGATCCCAATTTTTTTCTGGAAGCCCACCCCCAGAGCCTAAATTTTTTGGATGCCTACCCCCCTCAATTCCACCAGCCCTCTCTCCCAGCTAAAAAATGATCGGTCCCTATTGTCAGGGAATCAAACCTGAGACCCCAGAGGTGAGAGGCGAGTGCACTACTACTACACCAAATTTGATTCATCAAACCTTAGTGCAATTCAGAACACCCCACAGCACAGCAAGTAATAAGTTTATGGAAATTCTAAACTACTTCTTATGAGTTTTCACCACAAATAAATTTTCATGACATTTATCATGAATTTTGTTAACGTTGAAATAGACTTACCCATTCATCGTCCTCAACACCTTCTTGCTGGTCTTGTGGTTCTGATTCTTGACCCTTGTGAGACATGACTTTATCAGTCCAAGATGTGCCTGTCTTCTCACCTCCAGAATAGTTTGATACTGTAGAGTTTTGTTGGTTGAGCTTGGATAGCGAATCTGTGACAATATTTTTAAACAAAATAGAAAATTAAAGCAATTTTCTTACCTAATATTTTTTCAACTATAAAAACAATAATGAATAAATATATTTTATTAGTCTAGTCGTTCTAGCACTTTTGCACTAATTGGGGACACACTTCGCTCACACGCACTACCACTACAGTCAATATTCCATGCACACAACGCCCAACTCATATGTTGATTTTTACGGAGGGAGGAAACCAGAGAACCCTGAGAAAACCCTCATAGCATAGGAGAGAACAACACATCAAACAAACTCAATTCACATGTGACAACTGCAGAGCTTGAACCAGGGAGCCGACCTGTTGGACTCAGAGCGGTGAAAGATGATGCAAACGCCACCCATGCTACCCATAAAAGAATGTGTAGATGCGAGTGCACTACTGCTATACAACAGTTGATTCCCCTAGAGTGCTATACCTACCAATATATGGTCCTTTTCCTCTGGTGCGCAGTCTTACATGATTCCCTACATTCAACTCCATTTTTTCCAATTCATTCTCATCCCACCAAAATGAGACACAGTTTTTATATCCAGCTGCTTTACTTTCTGTTAAATCACTCAGCTCTTTTACAGTTACTTCTTTTATCACATCAGACAGGCTTAACTTGTCGGATTCTCCCACAGGACAAGTCTCTGGAAATAAGAAATTTGTTACAAGTTTGTTACAATTGTTGATACATTTGACATTTCGTTGTGAGAATTAATGATACTAACTATGGAGAGCAGGAGGGAGGGTATCCTCATATGCAGACTTCCTTTGGATTATCATGCAATGCTTCACTCCACACAAACAGGGTAAGGATTGAGGAAGAGAAGAGTTGGGTTTATTGCCATACCATTTTCATCTTTTTCTCATAGTGCATGAATGCAGCATTTTATATTGGCAAACACTCCTGCCCAAAGCTCTATCAACACATTTTTTGGTCATCCTACCGAGACATGGTCATCCTACTGCCCCTACCAACAACCTTCCAGAAACCTGTTAAAATGCTACCAACACCCTACCAACGTCCACCCAACACCTTACTAACACTCTATTGACACCTCTACCTATACCTTTCCAAAACCCTGTTAGCACTCAACCATCACTCTATTGACACCCTAGTAACAATCGGCTGACACCCTAACAACACCCCATGGACAACCATTCTACACCCTACCAACACCCTACTGAACACCCTTGAAAATGGTACCATAAACCTACAGACAGCCAACCCGTTTCCAAACAAAGACTGCAATTTGAGTCTAGCTTATAAATTGTAACTACTTCCACTCTCCATCTACTTTTTGTAGGGTGCTTTGCACACCCTTGATTAATCTTCATAAAGAAAAAATTAAGATAAAACTTACTGTAAGAAGACATTAGATAACCTGTACTGACTTTCTTAGTTTCCCCAAAGTTGGGTTCAATTTCCTTTCCAGTTGAGTCAAACTTTCTCCTTGTAGCCCTGGCAACTGCTACATGGATGACAACATAGCACCACTAAAAAAATAAATATTAGCAGTTTATTACTCTCTTGTTTTCATTATTTTACAGTAAAGAGCTATTTCAAAAATAGGTTGGTAAAGGTTTTCTTGCATGTTGCAAGATGTTTACCAAGCTTGGAAATATGTATCATGGATCATATATATACCCTGCCAGCAGAGTCTCCCAGGCTTTAATCTTTCCCCCACATGCTTGTGGGAAATTAAAATGAGACTCTGCAAGCAGGGTAATGTAAATATTGTCAGCACAAAAGAAAATATACCTGAAAAACGTGCAGACAAAGTTGGAAAAAATTCCTTATTACTGTGACCAATTTGCTGATTGCATTCACTGATCGCTCATAGATGATAGTGCATTTGTGGCTTGAAGCAATGCACTAGCATGCACCATTACCTTCGCCAATTTTTTTTTAAAAAAAGCTGTATGATAATAAAGATTGTAGTATTAAATTGTATATGTATACAGTGTATATATACACAGCTACTTGCATTTATTCTTGTGAGCCATATTTAATACTCACTTTATTCGCTCCAGAAGATTTATCTCTGACAGAATATCTTGACCTTCCTTGTATGTCTCCTTCGACCAAGACGCCTCCATTTTTAGCTCCACTTCAAACAAACATAAGGGTGAAGAAAAGATTACTTTTAAGTTAGAAACCTCTTCTGCTCGTTACTGAAACCACGTCTGCTAAAAGCCTTCTTAGATCAACAAAGAATAAAATATTCAAAGTCAATTCCAAATTCTATGGTCATCGTTCATTATCACATTTATTTCAATGTTGTGTGATTCAAGATGTGAACAGACGACAGTCGAGCTCATTTTTATTGTTTAGAAAAGAGGTATTTCCTGCATGACAGTACAAATACCTGCTGTCAAATTTGAAAACTTGTTGAGGATTCCACGCCGATTCCCGTTGTATCGCAGTGACAGGGATGGCTTCCAGTGGCTTGTTATCATATAACATATGAGCTCGACTCATTCTGGTGGATTTTTAAACTAAATCTAAGCTTAAAACAATAAGAAAATGAATTTCTTAGCACGAAATATAAGCTTATATAGTTTACTTTTGATTTATTTCACTTAGCTGATGCAAATATTGCCAGGCGTTCCACGTAATACCAGGCCCTCTCCGCCCAAACAAGCCATTAAAGTCGGTTCGCGCAAATTTGAGGTGATTTTTCGGCATTTGCTGTATAAAATACTTGATATTTGTGCTACGCATTTAAAGAATTGTTACTAGCTCGTTACTTTTGAAGAACGATCATGAAATAGGAAGTTTTGTAAGTTTTAAATTCTTTTAAAATATATTTGCGCACCTTTTTGCGCACGAATCCAATGAACATCACCTCGTCGACTACCACCCTAAGAAATCTTCCTATAAAACAGTTTTCCACATTTGCACAAAGAATTGGCTAAAATTTACGCAAATCAATAAGCAGGCTCTAAAAACTAGGAGAAATAAATTTTGCAGAACATTGAATTGATATTATTTTTGGACTATTCTTGGATTATCGCAAAATTTCAAATCACAAGTATGACTTTGCGTAACGTAAAAGATGCGTAACGTAATGAGTCACGTAAATTAGTGTGAGTGAGTGGTGGGTGTGGCTTTTGTCTGGTTCTAGCTTCAAAGTTCAAAAGGAAAACGACTATACACCGAATCGAAATATGGCGACCAATTTGAAAAATTGTTCTGCACTGACTAGAAACTGAGTAGCCTCGTGTTCACGTGAAAACATAAAAGCGTTTTCACATGTAGGAGAGGCTAGTCAGTCGCTAGTCAGTGCAGAACAATAGCTTTTTAAATTAGCCACCATATTTCGATTCGGTGTATTAGCTATTCCGAGGTTAAGGGAAAACCTGGGTCGAGTTGGCATTCCAGTGCATTGTGGGGCTATTTTAAACTAAACAGACGCTATCTTAAACAGCCCCAAAATGCTTTGCGATGCCAAATCTACTTATTTTTTTCCCTCCGTCTCGGAATGGATGAGAAAAACACACCTTAAGAAGGTATGCACTGGGAAAGAAAAATGCAAGACAAGAATGAAATTGCATTCAACAGATTATTTCTACATGGAAAAACAAAAAAACAACAGACATACAAAAACTTTTTTATTACTGAAAACTTCATTTATGATAGTGCATAAGATAATTAATACTTATTTTATACTCTCAATAATAAAATAGATTCAGAGATTCACATATATGTCTCTGCTTCTCTTGTGTGTGTGTGTGTGTGTGTGAAATAATTATAACTCAATAGGTAATATTATTAATAATATCCAATAATTCAATCCAAACAAAGGGTTGAAAAGCTTTCATATTGAAAACTTTGATTAAATAAAGGAGTAATCCTGATCATACCAAATATGATTAAGTCACTTTGGATGAGTTCACACAGAAGTGAAAAAATCTTTTCAGTGGTTGCAGTAGGAATAGAAAGATAAAAAAACAAAGACATGTTTTCCCATTCCAGACCACGTGTCATTCTCTCGAGTATCACTTCTTTGTTTAATGGTTGTGCATCAGAAGGCACATGACCATGGATACAACTCAAACAAAGAATCTTATTCTGGTTTGAAATGGGAAAACATTCCAGAGTAAAGACAGTCAATAGACCCCTTGCAGCACTTTGGAATGCAGCTCCATCTGGGGGGACAAAACAATAGATTACGATCCTTAGGGGATAATTATTCTTTTGTTTCATCCCTAGATTGACCTGCTTTTACGTCAAATGGGTTCTATTGCATTTTTGTTGATATAGATAGTGCACTATCAAGAAAATGGTCATAAATTAGGAACAGAGAAAATATGTTTAAAATATGGAATATTCAGCCCTACTTTTCAACAGGCTATTGGTTTTGGCTGTCCATTTTTCACTTTCGTATCCCCACCCTTGTTAGTTCAATGTTTCAAAAAACAGTCACCTTATCTCTGATTATTCTCAGTAATTCACTTCCATGTAAACTAATCTATCAAACTAACTTGACTAACTCTAATTAAATAAAATACTTCAAACCCAGAGTGATTGTAATAAAACTGTGAGATACTTCAGTTTCAAGTTATCTGTTGATGAGGATTAGCCTCAGTTTTATGTATAATAATCATATGTTCCAGTGAAGGTCCATAGAATTTCAAAGTGTTTTTATTGTTGAAGTTGTGCATTCTTTACTTTACTTTTGGTATTTGTGAATATTTAGACACTGATACAAGGCTAAGCCTGAGTAAATGAGTCTGTAATCAAGGAACACAACAATAATTTGGAACTCAAAAATGGTCCATAAAACACAGGAAAGCCAATTGAAGTATCTTTTTTGCATGCTTATTAAAATCACTCTAGCAGAATATATGATTGATGGACTTATAAGCCATTTGACTCAAACTTAAATCAATTAGATATATATGTATATCTAAGGACAATAGTTCTTTTTAGGTAAGGTGCATTTTTTATTGGATGGTAGAGAGCTGCAGGGTTCATTCTCAGCTCATCAAAATAAAACTGGTTTGAACCTCCTCAGAAGTTCAAATTTTACCTGATGACCTTCCCGTCTGAAGTCCTGCCCTCTGCCCAATCAAAAACGTACATTCCATTAGCTTTCATTTTAACTTATGTATTTTTTTAATTCCTTAAAGTAATTCCTCTCTAAAGATGAAAAACGCATCAGGAAGCAAAAGAATCAGTGGCTTTTTAAAGACCAAATAACGAAAAATATTTATGAAAATATGTATTCAGAAGCGAAAGTTCAATCGTAAAGCATCATGGGAAACGTATGGGATTGATTTTCGTTTTTTGTACCCAGGTGACTAACCGCGCTCAAGGCAAGACTTCCAAGGTTGGTCCGCCTTGGTCCATCTTGGTCCGTCTTGGTCCATCTCAGGATGCTTAGTCAAACTTTAGAGCAAAATTAATTCCAATTGTTTTAACGTATTTTTTTATTTTTTATTTTTTGATTGCAAAATATTGGGTAAAATAAACGTATTTTTACAATTAGCGCATTTATATGACCGAATAGGATTTCAATGTTCTTATTTTGGATTTTGCATGAATGGGAAACAAAGGAATCCAAATAAATAGCTTCTCCATCCCAGTTTGTGATTGGCTAGTTTCTTCGCATCATGATTGGTCCTGAACTAAGAACATTGCAGTCAAAGTTCTACCCAGAATGATTAGCCAATAATGGTTTATTCGCTGTTCGATTAGCTCTAAACTAAGAACGTTGGTTCATCAATGAAGCACTTCTTGTTTCCCATTCATACTAAATTTGTTTTGGCATGAAGTTAAGTATCAAATATCAATCGTTTTAGTTGCAATATTACTAGCTTGTGAAACAGCCACGTCGTTTCCATTTACTACAGCTAAATACGCGTAATCGGCCGCTCACCTCAATTGTGTTGTAGTCCATCCAAAAATCGGCATAAACAGAAAGATCGTGCTGTTTTATAATCTAGAATTTGATTACAACGTTAAATGTTGCGGGTCAATTTATCAAAGTTAGAATTTTTCAATACAATGCTTCAAAACAAAGCTAGCGTCCAAGTCATCAACGACACAAGCTAAAACCGAATTCGTTGCGAATGAAACCCTGAGATTATTCGCGCGTTTTGTTTGCATAAACTACAGCAAACCTATAAACTACAATAACTACAAAAAATTCTAGAAGCATGTCCTTTTTTTTATCAAAATAAACTTCGATTATGTAAGGAAAAACGATTTTCAAAAGTTTTTGTTTATATCGTTATTTTTTTCTTAACTTAAAAGCATAATGTCACGTGACTTTTGTCACGTGGCGTCAATTATAATCAAAAAGATTTATCAAGCTTTATCTCAATTCATTGGTAATACAAATATAATAGTAGAAAATAACATTATTAAAGTGCAGATATTTTGGGTAAAACCCATACTTGAATATTTCATGAAAAGTGAATAAGTATACAAAGCAAATCTTTCATTGATTGAAACTAAACAATAAGCGTTTTTCAATTGGTTCAATTTACGTCATCACTAAACTATTTGTCATCTAAAAAATGCGCAGGATACTGGGCTGTGCAAGAGATATTTTCCGAGTTTGATAAACAGGATGCATTACGGTCTAGCTTGAGTACAAAACAACACCATTTAAGGAGTAAAAAGATTTTAGTACCCAAGCTAGACCATAATGCACCATGTTCTCGGAAAAGTCCAGGCTGGCACGTCTGACGTCATAGTAGGAAAAGACCTTGGATCCTAAGAACTTGTTTCGTATAGTATTGTGGACCCAAGATCACTGTTGCCTAGTAACCAGACTCCCGCGCAGTGACGTAATGACAAAACATAATATGGTTATCTTGCTACAAGTTACATTCAATTAACAGTTAATTAGTTAATATTGGTTAATAAATTATCATTACTTAGCAATGAAAAGCGGATTAACAATTAGCACGTGCGTTCAAGGTTATTGGAATCCAATGAACGGCTTTAATATAAAATTAATGGGTTAATAAAAGATTAATGAGTGCTGATAATTTCGTTAGCTACTGATTCCTCTCGCAAAATTGACACAATGAAATACGAACAGAATCTCTAGTTGAGAAAACTGAGCGAATCTTGACGGAATTGGATAAAAAAAGAAAGTGAAAAAAGAAAAAAATATATATCAAAAATGGCCCCAAAACAAACTAAGCTTAACTTTTGTTATATACAAGTTCATTACATTATCTAATACCACTAATATTAATACTATTTTTGATTTAAATACGCTACTTTAATCACGTGACAACCGGGATATTTGCCCCCTGGGGGCTATGGACTGGGCTCCACCATTGGGTGAGACAAGTCCCAACTATCACGTGACCAAAGATCTACAATAAAACGTTTTCTCGGAAACCTACTACGACACGTAGCTATACGTCACCAAGAGTGACTACTCCAATCAGAGCATCAAATGCTCAAGTTCATGCGAACCACCTTCGTCAATAAAAGTGAACGATAACGGCGGTCTACCACAGTTTTGACATGCGCACGAGACTCATCAGTTACTCTTTGCGCATGCGTAGAAACCCCAAAATTTTTTTCAAATGTTCGACAAAATACGATAAACGTCCAATAATTTATATTAATTGACAGTCGTAGTGATACGACATTCCTATCGAGGTCAATTGCTTGGCGATGTGATTAGTTTATTAAACTGCTAACTTCAAAACATTCTTAACCACTTCAAAATCAATATTCTTTAAATATCAGAATATCAAAGATATACTTTAATTGTTTTAATATAATAGATGTGCATTTTGACGCCATCCCACGTATCCCACCCAGATCACATTTATAGATATAGGAAAAAGATTTTATTCAAGTTTCAGAGAGAGGGAAGAAATAAATGAAACGGAGAGAATATAGCTGGACTTCATAAAATACTAGAATAAAATGTTTTCATAAGAAATTGGATAGGGAATACTTAGATATTTCACCAACTTGAATAAAAGCCAGCCCCATAAATCATATGATCTTTAACACTCACCTCATCAACCCTTGAGTTCCAAGCGTTGAAGATAGACAACTTTGGAAGATATACTAAATATCACACAGATAGTATACAACTATTTCAAGAGTCGTTGTCGGTCTGAGATCTTAAAACTAAAATCTGACCAAGTAACACGCTGCAAAATGATATATATTCACAATGCCAAACAACGCAGTTTCCTACTAGATTGAAATGATGAAGCATGACCTTTGAGTGTGTTTTTTTTTTTTTTTTTTTTAATATTTTATCGAGAAAACATAGAAGCTCGAGTATTCCCGTTTTCGTTTAGTCTCAGATCGCCCATTTTCGATCTGGGGCCGACAACTCTTTTTGAAACAAGTGTAAGAAATGTTTATGTATATTTACGAACTATTTCTGCCTCGTGACTCCACTTCATTGCAACAAGGACTTCGTACAGCTTTTGCACCGTGCTGTCTTTAAGATGACCCCAGTCATTCAGCATGTTCTCGGTTGCCTTCGACTGTTCTATATCGAAGTTCAATATATCTTTACTTGTATAACCAAGTTTTGCCGCTAAAGTTTTCCAACGCCCTCTGGGGTTAAGGTAGGAGCTTAACTCCTCTATTATTGAGTAACTGGCGTTTCTCAATAACTCTGGGGGGAAAAGGAAAAGTGTCTTAGAAATGGTGCTATCACTATTCATTCTTGAACCATTTTGAGGATAGTGTATTCTTTAGTGTATCATTGTAGTATAAGGACAAATGTTTCTTCAATTAAGTATTTTAAAGCCCCTTAATAAAGGCTTAATAAAGGAACAGTCTTAGTTTTCAGGCTAAGCGCCAGCGATATATCAAAATGCATTACAACATCAGAAAAAAACGGTTGAAAAGTCTTGAAAAATGATGTGCGTGTATGAGTGAGGGTGGTGATGGTGACAAGGATGGAAGAAGGTGGTTTGCATACATTGCCAAGAGCGTCATATATTTGTGGTCAAGTAAAAATGGAAGGTAATAAAAAGTCTTATTAACATGTCCGCGATGACGAAACGTGCAAACGGGGGATCATCGGGAGCTTTTTGTTTCTTTTTTAATGAATAGAAAATGCGCACTCGTGTTGTGTTCGATCATAAACACACCTGAGTAATGGTAGAGCATGAGAGAAGAGTAAGAAGAAGCACGACGCGTTGCGGAGTTTAAATTGCCCCTATATATATACCCTTTCTGCCATGACTTGGTAGCGGGATGTTAGCAAGAAGTGAAGATGGAGAGGAAAGTGGATGAGAAAATGAATAACGGACGGAAAATAAGAGAAAAGCAGTGTTCAATATGAATTCATTATCCACCATACCTGTTGAACCGGTCACCAATGGCGTTCTGCTCAACCTATTGGTCTCAGTTTCTTTAGGATGGTGAGGATAAGAAGGTGGCGCTGAAGAAACAATAACATTACGTTAGTATGCTAACAACAAAACCTTATCATATGTGACAGCACGGTTGCTATGGTAACAACTACTGCTCAAGTAACTGAAACTACATACTGTAGTAACAATCAACTTCACATCATTATATATACGGTTACTATGGTGACATTAACTGTAGTGTAGTTACTATGGCAACAATCACTATTTTAATTGTACGGTTACTATGGTGATACTCCATATATCTTATATTTATCTATAGTGTGGTTGTTAACTTTGAATTAAGTCATTGACACAACAAAAGAAATAGAGACCATGTTGGTGTTGAACAACAAAAGAGATCAAAGAATAAATTCTCTGGTCAAATACAACCAGCATGGCGTTAATAAAACAAGCAATATTTACTTGTTTTCACAATGGTCGTTGATGACTGAGCAGTAGCTGTTTTGTTTCTTCGCCAAATTACATAAAGTACAAATATTAGCAGAGCCAATCCTAGGATCCCTCCAACGATCGTCGATATCGTTTTAACGGTCGAGAAGCCACCATTACTAGTTCTATTTTTCTTTGACGTTATCTGCTTGGCCCCCACTATACTAGAGGTTGGACCACCTATACCTGCTAAAACACAAAGAAAATCGTTTAATTAACTTGTGCTGTGAAGAGTGCAGGAGCATCGTGAGTTAATATAACACTGGAGCGAACAGAAGCGTCAATTTTTGCGAAGGGACGAAAATCAGAGAAGTGACATTTGAAAAAAAAAAAACATATAACAGCGGTTTCCAAGACAAACGAGCGTGCGTGCGTGTTATATTCATCTGTAGGTGAATTTAACAGCATAAGACGTAAATCGTGACCAATGAGAGCTCCAGATTTATGATATTCACTTGTGTAGTGTAAAAATACTAGAGTGAAGTCATTAAACCCGTGAAATAGACATAAGACTAATACACGTTAGTAGACCCTAATTCCACTGTTTTCTTTTGTATCTATTTGACTATTACACGTTGACTAATAATTTTTTGTTTCACGGGTTAAATGCCTTCACTCTAATAACAGTTATTTCTTACCGTTCGTAGCATCAAAGAGCTCTGTAGGGATGCTCGTTGTCTTTGGTCTTCTTGTCGTTCCGTTAGCGAACGATTCTGGCCATTTTGATTTGTTTTGTAAAATAAAAGTTTTAATTTTGTTCTCAGGAACAGCTTTACAGATTGTATCTCTCTTTCGATTACAATGTAAATCTACTTGTTCGTTTGGCCCACACTTTTTACACGAACGACAAGGTTCTGTTTTACTTCCTAGATTAGAAAATGTTATTCCCTGGGAGGAAAAAGAAAAGAAAAATTATATATCAAGTATATATCAAGCAAAGAAAGGATCGTCATCAACGAGCTTCATCACCATTATCATTGACCATCGCTTCCATTATAACGGGTTATTCTCATTCATGTCGCTTTAATCATAGCCATTATCATCATCATCATCGTTTTCATCAACATCATTATCCGGGACCCGCTCACCACCGTCATAATGTTCATCATCATAGCCATCATCATCATCAACAACATCATTGTCATCATCCATCACCATCATTTGTCGTTATTTCTACCATCATCGTCATCACCACACCATCATAGCCATCATCATCAACAAAACCATCGTACCTCTATCATGCTTCATAAAATCGTCAATCTAGGTAATTAAATTCAGCGTCCACTCACCCTAACACATCTTTGACATCGTGTGTTGGTTGTACTCGTGCAGTTCTTCACCACTCCATGGCCTCTCTTACAGTTTTTACATCGCGAACAATATAATGCTCCAGTGTCGAAATAATAACCATCCTTACACCTGCAAACCGTGTTGTGCGTGCCGTTACATTTCCTGACTACGACGTTATTTTTCCCTATACATTTCGAGCATCTGATACACTGTGATTTATCTTTATCGAAATAATATCCATCTCGGCATCGACACTTGGTGTCGTGCGTTACATTACATTTGTTGATTATAACACTATTCAGTCCACACTGTCTGCACTTGGTACATTGTCTTATAACATTTAGTCCATCTTTGAATGTGCCTTCAGGGCACCTCTCGCAAAATGGAGCCGAATTATTCAAACACCCTTTATAAAAGAATCCAGCTGGACACAAGCCGCAAATATGAGTCGCATATATCACCTGCAAAGACAAGAAAATGGTTTAGATTTCTAAAACGTTTTACTCATATCAATGTGTAATGAGAGTTGGGGATCAGAGAGTCAAAAGACATCGTATTACAGGATACGAAGAGCAAAGTTCTTATACAAATATTGGTACCCAAGCACTTGCTCGAAGGAGTGCCATTTGAGGTTGAGGCAAATGAAACTATACGAGCTCAGGGACGATATTGGAAAGGTGCTCCAAATCTCTAGGGACGTTATCCCGATTTTATGCTCTTCTTCTTTCTCGTCCAGATTTTTCCTCTCTAAGGTTTTCTCCAGCTTCAAATTTTTTTCTTTCTTCCTTTCAAAGACAAACGGCTAGTTCTCAATTGTTCTCGAAGGAAGTACGGATGCAAAATGAAAAAGTTTAACGTTCTCAGGATAAAAACATATCGACAAAAACATTGCGAGCGCGACTTTTTGGAAACAAAACACTTTGGTTGCCGACAGTCTGCAGCAAACAAATTTTCTAAACCATACTCAAAGAAGCTAATCGTGCCTAAGGTACCTGGAATCGAAATGACTAGGAATTGGACATTGTAAATTAATCACCTTAAGAACTATTCACAGACCAATGTCTCCAGTATGGCATGAATAACAATCTTAGCCTTTTAAAAAATTTGTACCTTAATAACACGTACAAGCTATTTAAATTTCCCCTAAAAAACTAAAACAATAAATCGAAAATCCATATGTATAATTAGATTGACATACGTTAACTAAAAACACAAAGACGATTGATAATTACAAAGCTCTAGCCAGTACCAAGGAGTTTTTAATTAAAGAAGAAGAATGCTGCTTTATGACAGCTTCTATTCGATGCGCCAAGACGTGTCGACGCGTGTTAGCTTTGACAAGTATGGCGGAAATCGATTACTCGATGTTTCCTTGTGGACGTAAGAAAAAAGAACAGAAATTATGGCTAGATTTTAATGTTATGTCAAAATAGAATCAACGAAGAAGGAAATTTTAGTTCGGTTTTTTGTCGCTTCAGTACTTGGTTATTACGTGCCTAGGAGAGAATGCGGAATGGAAATATGCTTGCGTATCCGATATTCTTCCTCTAGAAAATATTTCACCACTGAATAAATCCAGTCAAAGAAAAAAATATTTCTATCAGTGCTACTATTATCAGATAAGAAAAGATATGGAATTTTGCTTGTTTCATCTTCTTCAGCTCTTGTCAGTGTTACAAATTTCGTAATGCAAAGAAAGAAAGAAAGAAATAGATCTACAAGATTTATAGAAAATGAATTTGTACATTAAAGTAATAGAGATTGCAACATGTATACATACACTTGAGAAAATTACGAGAATGGTTTTGAAGTGATCCATTGTAGGTACTGAGTTTAAGATCTGCGCACGTGAAATTTCAACAAGAGGACACTAACAGCGTGACTAGTTCGTCCCTCAATTCTTGCTCTACAGACTGGCCCAATCTGCTGCTGGAGGCATTAGGCAACTTCGAACTAAGACGTCCGTCCACTCGAACGGTGCTAAAGATTTTCGATGTTTTAGTGACTTCACTTGTTGCGAGATAGAAATACAGCTATCAATAAAACCTCAGACATTTAGCCGTTTATCAAAGTCTCGAGTTTGACCACTACGACCTTGGAAAGGTGCGCTAAACTCCATGCCACACGCCAAGACTTTGTTAGTATTGTTTTTCTATGATTATTGTTATCGAAGCCTTATTAAGAAAGTGTGGTTCGCCTACTTCACTCTTTGATTTCATCTGCAGTAATACGAACTATTACTTCGTCATAACTCCTTAGAGGGGATACGTTTAAAACGTTTTCTGCTGACCAAAGGTCAGTGGGCTTTAGCGTTATGGAGGACAGCTTTACTTGCAACGTGAATTTCTCTTTCTCTCTAATTGTGAGGCTCGGTAGCCAACAATCAACTAATGAATTGTTAATGAGGTCTATTTGTTCCAGGCATTAAAAATAACCATATCTTTAGGATTTTAGAGAATGTCTTAAATCTAATTTGAATGCACTTTTTAGATCAAATTCTATTTGCTTGGGCCGAAATTTCTTTACTTTTTAAGACAGAATCAAACGCTTCCAGAGATAAAAGATGAATTAGCTCTCGAAGGAAAATTTTTTCCATAAAGAAACCCAGCTGAGAAACATCATTCAATTAGCAAGTTTTCCCACAGTTAATTTAATAACTCTTCCAAAACTCGTCCCACTCTGAAGTTCAGAACTACGAGAATTTGCCGACATATGATATGAAAGATTTCATGTTGACAATAGCATGCACAGGTGCCGTATAGGTTCGGCAAACAGCCACCTTTGAATGCGCTGATGACCCAAGGTTATACGATAAGTGACATGCTTGCTGATGGAATGGCGAGTAAAAACGAAATTTACTTCTGGTGGATGTTGAGCGTATTTAACGTTTAGTAAAAATTACTAAAATCATTCAGAAACTCCTAGAAATGATTAAGTCATAATAAGAGAACAAAGAGATAAGATTTTAACCCCAAAATTAGGAATTTTTGAGAGATTAAGATGAGTTTACAAGAACTGTCTTTATGACAATGATGTACAAAGTAAAATGGCTTAACAACGGTGACAGCTCTTGATTCATAGCGTGACGTTGAGAAATCTGTCTGTCATACCCTTGAAAATGTTTGTTTTCTAAGAAATCGAAAACCATCACTAAATTAACCTCAAATGAAAATATCGAAGAGAGAAAAATTAATTAAAAATCTACGAAAAAATGGCGAAGACTTCGTTAATACTGACTTCAAAACTCCACTGCAGTAACTATAAATATTTTACTCGCTCCAGGAAAAAAAAACCAAAACAAAAAATAGTAATCCGAGGAGTATGAGAAAAAGTTAACTGGGTATTAAATTTAGAGAGTAAAGTTTGGTTGTAAACATTTTTTTTTTTAAATGAAAGTGATACTTGTATGGGCACGTTGCAAGCAAGGTCACTGCTTCATCCTGAAGGTTGAATCCGTTATCTGGTATCGAGAAAAATGCCTTTAGTAAATAAATTCTCTTTTGAAATAAGTTTGAAGGACGAAAAAGGTCGTATAATTTTAAAAATTAGAAAGAAATTTCGTCCATTTGTTGCAAACCCGTAAGTAATAATAACAGAAAAGGTACAGAATCCGAAACAATGAGTTAAAAAAACTCAAATTTATTCATAAACACCAAGTTTATCTGTATCTTTCTTGAACAATATTTTTAAAAGTTTGGAGTAATTACCGAAGAGAAAGAAAATAAAATTACAAATATGTGTAAACTTCAGAAAACTTTTGCGTAGGATGATAGTGAAAAAGGTGAAATGTGCCAAAATAAATGTGCAGTGAGTGACATTAACTACTACAGCATATGAAAGGTTTGTTTAAAGCGAAACAAGACATAAATAGTTCTCTTCGTGTACAACCTCGAATTCTTAAACATAGCAAACCCGTCCAGCTAGAAGGCAAGATATTTTAAAATCTTTAACGAACGGAAATATTGGCTGTAAAAGCAGGATTGAGATATTTTGCTGTAGCTCAAACTATACCTTTTCAATCACGTAGAATTAAAATTTACTCTTACATTCTTTCCTCTGGAAACGTTAAAGCTGATAGCTACGGCGCCTAAATGCTAAGATATTATCGTCGTTTTTAGCCGTTTTAGCGTAAATGTATGAATACTAATAAATGGTGTTTTTGTAAAATGTTATGAATAAGCATTAGGGGTAGATGATAAAAAGATGATCAACTCTATTCAGACAAAATATCAATTAAGATCTATGCCTTGATCCAACGATAACGAAACTACACGGTAAAGTGGATTCCTTTTGTTTCTGTCAAGCGGATTTCCTCGGCTGTTGATTGCGACCCTTCGAAAATATTTCAAGTATATTTTGTTTTCAATAATTACCTGAAGAAGTAACTGAGTTAAGACTTTTCGTTAAAATAATTAATGAAGGTTTTCCAAAAGTTTTAAATAAATAATGAGTATTGATTTCGGGGGGAAATGAAGTTGTACTTTGCATAGTAGGCAAGATGATTTCGTAAGTGTTATTTGTAATTTATTTGATAAAAATGATAAAAATAAAGTAAAAGTGAAATGGAGCATAAATTTCTGGGAATCCTGCATACATTTCGTCATTTTTTCGTGTCAAGTTTGCTAAACTTTCTTAGTTTTTAAGAATGATTTGGAACTTCATACAGTATAAACTTGTGGTGTAATTAAATCAGGACCAGTCTGGTTGGTAAGGAAATACTTTTATATTAAGATGTTTTGGCACAAGTCGGTTTTCCTAATCATAATGTCGTATTTTAACATTCTTTCAAAGGTCTAGTGAGCAGCCAGCCACACGCGAGTAGCCCCAAAGATTTCCGTTAACATATTTTTGGTTTATTTCAACAACTTGAATACCAAAACAAGATAGTTGTGACTTTTTAAAAAGCGGCTCGGAATGTCATCAAACGATTGCATGAAAATTTGAAATCGTAATACCCTTTTTGCGAGACAAGGCTAGATTGCAATGCGATAAAAAAAAACATGTTTTTCGAGCAAGCGTTTTCGTAATTTTACCAACCGGCCTTATATATCGTTGTATCTATTGATAAAGACTGAGATCCAGTGATGAAAATTTGTCTTTGTTGGGAGAATGGTCCTTATTTTTGTACATTAATAAAAATTTTAGCTAAAATGTCAGACGTGGCCGGAAACAATCAATTCAATAGTAGAAATTGAATACATGTAGGAACGAAGAGGCGCACTGTGGAAATTTCGTTTTTGGACCACGCACTAGTAGTATAAGCACAAGTTCCCCCACAATAACAGGCTCACACTATAACGGGGGGAAAAAAAACTTAAAAGAACAAAAAAAACTTCCGACATATAAATTGAAGGATAATTGTTGCCTGGAGAAGCAAGATGGATTGTGCTATAATTCACTATTTGAGTGATGAGTGAGATGAACTAAACCTTTTTTTAGCTGACAGCTTCGTTTCAAAGAGAGAAACCAATAACAAAAACAAACAACACGAACAACAAGTCGACACGAAAAGAATTCAAAATTCTCGATGGAGTTTTTGTTTAGGAAATCCTAGCAGTGCTCAAAAGATGTAACGTGAATTTCTATGCATCAATACTTCGTGTTTTGTTCTTAGTAACCCATATTTTAGTATGAGAAAGTAAAAACACACTTTAGAGATAAGAAAAATCCTTATTTTTCTCAAATCACTAAAGCTAATTATCATAGTTGAGATAAAGATCTGGTTATATTTTGTACAGTACGAATGAGATTTCGATATTTACCTAATAAGCCATTAAAGTAGCCTTGAAAACATTAGCAATGGTCTTGGAATAACTATTGAAAATGGCACGACTTTTAACGAATTCCTAATGAACTCGTATTGTTTAGCATGGAGTCATATATAATATGCATACTATATCTGACAAAATATCACATTCGTGTGCCAATAATATTGACCACAAAATACTTCCTGCGAAAATTCGATTGACTCGAGGTTTGTGTTCTACATACACATTTTAAAAGTAAACTTATAGTACCTGTCAATTATTTAGTAATATGACGCGAAGTAATCTAACTTACGAAAGAAAATGTCTACATAAAAAATGTGCTTACTGGGCAAGTTTGAACAAGAATATTTGTGGGAGGGTCAATAGTCAGCGAACCGAAAATCAAAGCCTTGAGTAAGTGTTGGGCAATAATTCTTCGAGTTGAGCTTAAGATAATCAGGAAAGTTCCCTAAACAAGAGATTAGGAATTAAACTTGGGGAAAGTTCGTACAAAAGGGGGTTTCGTTTCCCTTTGRACGACACTCTAGAAGATGTTTTGAAGATACGTCAACAGCATTCCCGCTGAGCTCGGAGTAAAAACATGGCTAAAAGACATTGTTTCTCAAACTCCAAAGCTACATAAAAACAAAGCTTTTTTATCTCCTTTTCTCCACCTTCAAAAAACCTCCTATCTTTAAGTATTAACTCGATAAATTTTTAGTTTACTAAACGAGCTGGCAAAGCAAAATGGCGCTACAATATAGCTTGTTGTCAAAAGTGAACAATCCTTTTCAATCAAACAAGGTTTTCAGGCTTACCAAGTCATTATCGCTTCGTATCGTGATGCAAAAGAGATAAAAATTACTTCAATTGTAACAGAAATTCAAGGTATAATAAAGAACTCGGGAACTACAGCAATATATATCGTACGAAAGAGAGAAATAATACAAATATTTGGATTCATTTGACCATAGCCATGTTGTCACATGTGTTTCTGTTCTTCGAATCTACCACGAGTTCTGACCTCGATCAGCTATAATATTCTAACACGTCTCGAACAAGAGCAAGAAAATGATTTGGAAAAAAAACATTAACACTGAGCTATTAAGCCAGGGTTTCACACAAACCTGTCTGAAAAATTGTGTAAAATAAGATGGTTTTCAATGTAGAAAGTGTCACATATGGGTTTGCATTCGTCTAGGAATATTAAATCATAATGTAAATATCCATCGATCTAATGCTCATTTTGGTCTTCAAATTAATCCATCCTGCATATAAGCCTACTGTTCAAAGATCTGACTAGAAATTCAGCGTGAAATCTAAGTAAAATACGACCGAAAAGCGAAGGATTTCGTCCAGGAATATTTTTCTCACCAACGGCGATGATCATGTCTCCTCGAGAGTGGAATGAATTATCAAACCATCAATGGCATCTCCTTCGCAATGAAGCAAAAAATTCAAATCTAAATATACGTATGGATATAAATATTTGAAAAACTTACCGTTATTGATAATATCAGAACGGCTAAAATAAGAATACCGTACTTGGCCAGCATAATTTCAATATGGCATGTGTGACAAAA